AGGAAGAACACGTAAAAATCGAATGGATTACACTGCAATCAGATTTTATTTTGATTTCTTCAAGTTTTAAAGTTAATTAGCACGATTATCCAACGTGCAAGAATTGAAATTGTTTTCAATGCGAATAAATCTTTTATAAGAAACATTCAACAAATATTTATGTAAATCTAATAAGAAAAAATCTTTATAATAATCTGATTTTGTTACTTACAGTACTTTGAACGAGAATCGCCATTTTTACTACTCGTGGGAAATGTGTTTCACGCTTACGTACGTAGAATGGCTGACGACCTGATAGCGCTGTAGTCAGAATCCTCAGTGACTGCAGTGATGCCAGAATCGTGGGACATGGGACAGAACGCTTACCCCCACTATGACCTACCGTCATCTCCCACTATACCGTTCCCGTGCTCTCACACAAGTGTATCGGTAGCTCTGTCCATGTGCGTAGCCTGTTCGGCATTTTCCGCAAACAATCCACGTTACCACGCGACGCTCCGAGCAACTTGAGCGCATGAATAGCAATCGGGAGATTTCCTTTGAATCTCGGTACGACGGTGTTACTTTTTATTTTTAATTATTTTGTAATTTCACTTTGTAACTTTTCAGTGAAATAAAAAGTTTGAGGAATATTGATGTGCAAAGCACTTAACACGGAGACTACATACCTGACCCACGATGATTTTAATGAAATTTGGAGGGTGGAATCTAGAAGTCGAAAAATGACATTCTATAAAATATTTCATTTCAATGCACATTTTTTATAAACATTTGAAGTTACTTCTACAAAACTTTGGAAGTTTAAGTGATGTGCTTTGCAGATAAATATTTCTCAAATTTTTTATTTCACTGAAAAGTTACAAAGTGAAATTACAAAAGAATTAAAAATAAAAAGTAACACCGTCGTACCGAGATTCAAAAGAAATCTCCCGATTGCTACTTATGCGCTCAGGTTGCTCGAGCGTCGCGTGGTAACGTGGATTGTTTGCGGAAAATGCCGAACAGGCTACGCACACGGACAGAGCTACCGATACACTTGTGTGAGAGCACGGGGACGGTATAGTGGGAGACAACGACAGGTCACAGTGGGGGTAGGTGTTTTGTCCCACGTCCCACGATTCTGGCACCACTGCCCCAGTAGCTCCGTTTCTCCTTCTCTCCCACTGTCTTTCACGTTCACTCTGTTCCTCCGCTTTCGCTTTCTCTCTCCCGTACTTGGGTTCTTAGGGTGATATCACATTCAAACACAAAGTATGACGCATAAAGCGAGGTGCCTACTAGCCGTATCTTACTTACAGTTCAACGAAAGACCTCCGACGATCTGCGAACATCTCCGAATGCCTAGATTACACTTCGACTTCCTATTGTCATATGCAACCCCGGGACTCTGGCCCACTAGGATCTTCACGCTAAGATAAAACAAAAACGGCCCATCATGGATAGGATGCTCTCTTCCCTCTTTTCTTATTTTCATAATAGCAAATTAAGATCACCTAAAAATAAGGTTCTACCCTCGCGCTCCTCCGGGAAACTGTCCGTCACGGATAGGACCCTTTTTCCCTTGTTTCCCTCTTCACGTTCCTTCAGAACACTGTCCATCGCGGATAAGATCATTTTTTCCCTTTTCCCCACATTTCTTCGACCAACCATAACTCAAAAAAACCTTTTCCATACGCTTCTCGGAAAAGATGGACATCCTAGATAGGATGTCATTTATCCAGAGATGCGCTTCGGAAACTATCCCCACTTAACCTCCAACTATCCTAAGGGAGAATGCCTTATATACAGGTCCTTGGAAGGAGTAGAGTCATTAATAAAGTTACTATGAACGAGTGTGGAAGGAACCTCTGTTCACAATGTATCCAGACATTGTAAAGAGTGTAAAAATAAAGTAAAACTTCAGCAATTCTGAGTTATTTTACGACACTACTAACGATTTGTATCGCAATAAGGAAGTGCATGCGATTATAGAGAAATTTGATAAATTCTACGAGTGCATACATAAATACGTATGTACATATATACGTTTGAAATTATGTTACAATATTGCGAAATACAGTGCAATAACCTACTTCACGTTCTTTTCAAACATGCTCCGTATATCTTTTTCATTAACGTTTGTTACGACATAACTCTTACCACTCAATCAATTTTTTTTCCTTATTATCAATAAGATATTACATAGAGCAGTGGTTTTCAACCTTTTTATCGGGATGTCACCCTCCCCCCCTGATTGAAAATTCTTAATATTCCAAATAAGAAATCTAAAAATGTTCTATTTTAGCTGTGTAGTGTAAAGATGGACGATATATGCGTGCATAAGTGTTGAAATCCTGTATTGATCAAATATTAATGAATGTGAGACGGATGACAATAAGTTGGTAAATATATAAAAGCAAATGCAGTATCACGCGATTGCGATTCTTATATTTCAACTTTTTATCCTTATTATATTTCATTAAATAGTATTCTTATTTACGTATATCCTATCATACATATATATATATATCTGAACAAGCATATCTTGATTGACTAGTAATAAGTATACTACACGATAAAACCGCGATTCCCTCCTTATGCGGAATCCCCCCTGGTTGAGAACTCCTGACATAGAGTTTGTGTTTCGACATTACATTACAGAATAACATTTATGTAATGTGTAACTGAAAACTTCAGTTATTTCTCTTACCGTCAGTTTATAGTAGAATAGGTTAGGAAATATTAAAAAAAATCAAATCTATTTATAAAGCTAGAATAATGATGACCAAATGTAGTATTTCCTTAAATTTCTTTCACGATTAGATGACATACATATAAAGTGTCATCATGGAATAAATAACATTGAAAAACTATTTCTCAGAAATATTTTCTTGAACATACCACCTTGTCTACAAAATAACGTGATATGTACATACACACATATGTAGGTCATCGACGAAAAGAAATCGATTAACATACACTCACGCTAGTTTCTATTTCTATATATATGTATATATATCATTTTGATTAAACATAAAATGTAATTCAAACAATTTTAAAATATTAAAAAAGAAATGTTTATTTACCCACTTTCGACTGCTTAAATATTCACATTTATGAATTTCTTAGCAACTTTTATTTTAAGAAATGAAGTAATATGTATGACGAATATATTCACGTGATATAGAGAACGAAAATTAGAACGACAAAAAATTTAATTAAAACTCTGATGAGAGAAGATGAATTAATTTATAAAAGGCGGTAATATTATGACGTCATGTGATTATATTGTTTAAAAATGCCATTTTCAAGTGAATTATAAACAAACTTTGAGGATCCTTATTTATTTGCATTCTATATTTATCTACGAGTCTTGTATATGATATTTCAGATTACGTTTACTTTAATCTGTACATATTCGTAAAATACTTTAGTATGTACATCTGACGAAGTATTTGTGATGCAATACCAGAATGACAAATAGAAAAATCGATTGCTACTGTTGCGTGGGTTCTTGGTAAATTTGAGGGAATTGTCGCCCGTGGAGCGCCAAAGCGCTCTACTCGCGATCGTTTAATAAATTTAATGAATGAGAAAGTCTAACGTTCAATCTTTTATGGAACAATAAATAACTTGGTAAGAACAAGGATAAACGAAATGTTTTAACTATAATTTTTATTACGAAATAATACGTCTGGATTCTTTGAGCGAGGAAAAACAAATGAATCTTCAGGCGTCGTTAATATTCATATTTAATGTTAATATGTTTTTGTTAAACAATAGTCTCCAATTAAATTAAAGATTCCATAAAAGATTATTTGAGGATGATTTTGATTGGTACTCCTCATTTGTTTATTAATACATATTTCCTTTAAAGCGAGTGCTTTACACCTCAGCAATGTTTCTGTTCATAGCAACGACAATAAACATTTATCTAAACGAGCAATTGCAAATAGTAATCAATGAAATTTTACAGTATATTATATGCATATGTTATCGAGTTCTTTTGTTCATTGCTTCGGCTACACCACTGCACAATTTGAATTCGGCGCGCTTCAGAATTCACACTACAGGGCGCCACATGAGCCACATAACATTAGATTATGATTGCCCTAAAGCCACATTCACGAGCATGCATGACGAGCGATTAAATACGTCACGCGATAGCGTAACACTATAGTAGAGTCTAATAAATTATTCCTATCTTACATCTAGATCTAATCGTTTAGTTCCTCACATTTTTTATTTTACATACACTATTGTATTGTTATTGAAAATTGAACACTGATTAAAATTTATTGTAAAATCTTTAAAAATTACAATAAATGATATATTAAAAACAAGCAATGACGATGCATCACTGTTCACTGATAAGCAAGCTACATTACGTGGAATTTATAGAGCTGTATACTACTGATTGAAGTTTTCCCGTATTGATTAAACATTTTTACGATATGAAACTATAGCAAATACTGCGAACTTATACTGCATGCTACTGCAAGCAAGGCGTAAGTTACTAACTTGTCAAAGATACAATTTTATTAGTCCTATACATAAATTTTAACGTTGGTAACAAAATATATTGCACTATATTATGAAAATTTCAGCATATTACGACAATTGATGAAAAGTGATAATTTTTGCTTACATAAGTATATTTTTTAGCGTATGTTAGTAATAAAATATTTCATTAAACACGATTAAATATGTATATATTATATCATAAATGGAATATAGTATAAACATAATACTGAATATATTTTTAAATTGCATTATTCGTTTACAAACCATTAACATTTTCATGTTACTTCCAACGTTATCGGTTGAGTACAAAATAAAATTACAACGCTAATAGTGGTGAGAATTAAAACTAAATATGGTGATAGTGTCCAGATGTCAGAGTCACCTCAGCTACCCCCCATTTCCGGGTGTTCGAGGAGTTACGGGACACCCTGTAGATGCATCTGTTATGTGGTTTATTTCAGAAATTAAATATAAAACAATATAGATATAAATACTGTAAAAGTATGTACTTTTGTAAGGTTTTACTAAACTTTACTATAACATGTAGTTAAACTATATTTAAAAAAGATCATATTTTTGAGGTTATAAAATTCAACATAGACAAGGTACAGAAATTTTTACATACCTACCGGTAATGTCAAATGCAACATTAACATCATTTAGGTACTATCGGTAAATGACAAGACGAATATAATAAATAACATTCATGAAAGTAAGTTAACATAAACCAAGGGGCTTCGAGAAAATATAAATTTAGATAATAACAATATAAACTTCATATTAGTAATTTTAAATTCACACAATTTAATTTTATCTTTTTTACGCAAACAAGCCATTCATGCATTTAACAAGGTGTATATCAAAAATATATAAAACATGCAGAATATATCGTACCGATTGTATTAATATCAATTAAAACCACCCCTAATAATATGTTTCCCTCTGTTGATACTGTTTTCGCATGGATAAACATCGATTGCAATTCCTTAGGCACTTTTTACACAACACACCCTAACAATAGAATTCGATCAATGTAATAATGTTACAGATACGATCCTATCACGCTGTCGATGATTGTTATTAGAGACGATACAACTACACTTCTAAGAACAACGAGGTTATTGAGCTTCTAATCATCGCAATTGATGTGACGGATTGTACGTAAATGGACGAACGCGCAGGTCCGTGGAGGGCGCGAACGTCTCAGTCAGAGACGAGACACGGCGAGACAAAACGGAACGAAACGGTGGTGCTAAATATAATACGCGGAGGCACGCGATTCTCTTACGGCCGGGGACCGCAGGATGATCATCAACATCCGAAAGCGCAAACATCACCCTCGGTAGTGATCTTGTTGTCGTTGTTTCGTTGATACGTTTCTCGCTGCGGAAGTCGGAACGTAGAAAGCTGAACGAACGCGACGTGTGTCGAAACGAATTGTGATACAACCGGTCTCAAGGAAAATCTTGCCAGTTTTGTGATTTCTCGGGGGTGAAGATTTCTAGGGGACAATTCTATATGTGTTTCAGGCGTTCTGCCGATATCGTTTTTGTCACGTGGTAACCGGCCGAATTAAAGGTAAGCCGTCATTTATTCGAAACCATGATTTTTGTGAGTATTAGACGACAGAAATTGTTCGTTATATTAATGACTCGGAATGATTTCGTTGTGGAAACTACGAAGATTGGCGATCCAAGATGTGTAATTTTTGGCGTGATACAAACTGCGCAAGCAATCATTTAATCTTTTCCTTCTATGAAAAGTAATAGTTTTATATAACCACTGACAAACGTAATAATATTTGAATGAAAGTGCTAATACATTCGTTTCTAAACGTTATTTAATCGTTAATTGTTGTTTGTGATTATTGTACCGTTTGTATGTTTTTACGATAGTGGTTACAATGAGAAGTTTTTTAAAAATTATTTGTAACAGCTGCTACGTGCTCGTAGGGCGGTAAACATAAAAGTATTGCACGTGTACGTAAGTACATTTGTTTTGCAATTTGTACCGTTTTTTACACGGCAAATTAGCGCGGGATCGCTAAGCGTGTGATTATTTCCTCTTATTCTTGGAACCATGTTAAGAAGGCGTGAAAACGTAAACGTCTGAGTTAACGTACGCTTCGGGTGTATTACTTCGTCAATTACATCATACAATTTCATTACATCAGATCCGATAGAATTTTCCCTCTCACGCAGTTTATTTACCAATGGCGTTCGTGTGCGCACAAAAGTTCAATCCGCTTCAATTGTTCCGCGCTATATAATTCGGCCAAATACCACGAACTAGACAACAGTGCAGTGTATTTCCACCCGCTTAGCCGACTATTTTCTAAATATATCTGTTTATCGTTATTTCGTGTAGTTAGTTGGTTGTACATAACTTATCTAAACAATTATATTTACGAATACAGTGTAAATGTTGCGATGCAAATAACTAGTTTCGCCGTTCCATGATGATAATACTATGTAAACGTAAGGAAATACATTTTTGTGGCCATTCCCCAAACGCCTAACTCTTGAACTCTCTAAACTTATTCTGCTTTACCGATACCCTCTCGACAACCAAGAATGACCACCTACATTAATGGTGGTGGTACGGCAGTTTACAAACATTATCAATTTACATTATGAATGAATTTATACATGAATTTATACAGATTATATAACAATATATACATATATGTTTACGCGTTCGATGACTACCATAGAATTTTTGTACAATAAACTAACCTGAATCTAATGTGTGCCATTGTGGTATGACGTAACGACGAACTATACTTTCAAAGAGCGTGACGGTGAAACAATGACGAATTCCGAGGACCATATGGACAGCCCTATTCACCGATGCCGTTTAATGTATTAGGGGAGAAAATCGTGGGGTATCCAAAGCGTAGTTCACAGAATTTCTCGATCAATAGTCACCGTACTCTGCCAGTCGGTGTGTACGATTCGTAAATATGACGACCGTGTTCGGATTGCGTTTCGTTCAGGCGTATTATGTGACATACCACTGCACGAGTCGCACGCCATAGTCACGAGTCTACTCATACGATCGTATTTCATCGTGAAATGTCCAGCTGCAATTTCGCTACCTAATGTACTGTCAGGCAAAACTGCAAATAAAGTTGCCACGTGGCGATTTTCTTGTTTCCAACGATAATATTATAACTCAGCTTTAATTCAGTCTTGTCACGTATTCGGTAAGAAGAAATTGTCGCGGAAAACAAAGACGAGGGAGGAGGTATCATATCAATAGAAGATCATGAGAAAAGGTTAAGAATTAGTGTCGAACAGTAAACTTTCGTTGAATTGAAAAGAAAATTTCTGATGAACGAAATTGATGTGTTTGTGAATTTTTCATTGAGATTTAGTGGGTATATTAAGTTGAACGCAGAATATATAGTGTATGGTATTCCAAGACATTTACAAGGGATAAAACAATTAGTTTTTCTACATCTGCCCGACAGAGATGAATATCCAGAAGTCCGAGGGTCTTTTATCGGTGGTTTTACCTACTGAACTGGCGTCCTCGCCGAGTTCGAGACAACTCATTATAAATCAAGACCAACAGGTGTGTTCGATACAAGTAACGTAGCTTTTGTCTTTGGTTCTTCTGTTCTTTTGTCTTACTGCACGCCCATACCTCGTGTATTAACAACATGTATTGGTTGTGCTTTAACAAAACAATTTTCAATATTCTTTTATTTTGTCACGTATTGTCGAGCATAATTTTTTTTTTTTGCTTGCATTAACACATTGCCAATCGAACGAATTATATTTAAATAGGTGTAAAATTGAAAAATAGTTTATCATACTCAACAATATTACAGAGTGAAACTTCTAAAGATAATATATGAAAATAAAATATTATTTGACCGGTTGGTAGTGTATTCAATTTTGCATTATTTCACGCTTAATTTAGTCAGTAAACGTTAAATTTGCATAGGTATTTTGCGATGGAAACGCATAAAATGTTCAGTAGCGCGTTATCATTGAGCAATTAATGTAGGTACTAATTATGTACGTGTAATACATATAATATGCTTAAGCTTGCTTCCGAGATAAACAATAGAAGTTTAAACAACAAAGTACTTTTTATTAAAAAGAATTTGAAATTTTATTTAAATACATACCAAAAATTATATAAAAAAATGTGATACACATAGGTATATAATAAAATTCGTAGTATTCTTCATTTGTAGAGTTTTCCTTTAGAATTGACAAAATAACATTTACCAAGTCAGTTGATATCCAATAAAATTACTTTTATAAATGAACTACTTTGTACATTACAATTAAAGCTATATACATATATATATCTACCTATATATTTGTATTGTTCATCTATTTTCGTATATCTTTATTTTATTTAAGAAAAACCTAAAAGAAAATTATATTTTAACTTGTTAAAACAAAAGAGTTACTTAGATGTAAATTGTACGCGTGTCGCTTAATAGGACGAAGAGGCATCAGACTGTCCACTTTTGACTCCCAGCCCGCCGACCACGCAAGCGAACAATGCCTTGGAATCCGGAGCGATCTTTGTTTCTCTGGAAGGAAATCCCGTGGAATCGATTCCACCGCCAACGCTCGAGAACATTAATAAAGAGGACGGGCTTAACGAGTTCATGAGTATAGTGAACAGCTCAAGCAGAACGCTGAACGATGGTAGGTTTCCTTCTCCGTGGTTAACATATTTTCCACTGATTGTACGCATACAATTTTAATTCCTTGTGTTTTATCGCGTTATCCTCTTTCTCAAGTGATAATCCCCTGTCCTGCTAGTGGTAAAGTGAAAGTGATTATATTTCTTAAGTTTAATAATTTGAATTTTTATTCTACTGTACTTTTAGCAGAAATTAATAAAATTGTGTAATAAACTATGGTGCTATATAAATAGTATAGTTTTTTCTATCACGTTAAGTAGAATGAAAAATGTTGCGTGCTTATTTTATATTTACGAGCAACGAAAGGGAAAATTAAAAATGTTGAAGAAGTCACTCTCATTCAAAGCCTCTTAAGCCCACTTTTATAAGCATTCGGGGTTAAGTAATAGTTAGTTAAGTGGTTCTTACGTCAGAGAGATAAGGATGAAAATGAAGTGACACGAACAACGTGTCCCGTTCTTCGAAACTGAATATTTAAAAAACGCTGCGTTTGACGCATGTAGGAGGCAGGTATTTCGGTTATGAAGTTCAGGGAAACAGTTCTTTCTCGATCTAGAATGTTTTATTTAGAACAGTCTTCCTGTACGTATTACGTTTACTTTATTTTCAAAATTTTCAGTTTGAATTTTAATTCATCAACTTAACGGATTCTCGATACACTTGCCTAATCTCAACCACGTGTTACCAAATTTCTTTTATCAATATATTATGTGCTCAAGTGGCCAGATATTTATTAAAAAGAAAAAGAAATATGAAAAAAAAGTTATTCGAACGAAAAAAAAACACGAAAAAGAATACTTGTCAAACCATGTTCAGTTTTCCTCTCAACTGTATCGAAAATTTATTGTAAAAGCAATATAATCGCACGTAGCTCACCACTGTTCGCGTAACCCTCGTGAAGTAGAAGAAAATCATTCATAGTCCACTTCGTCAAGCAACTTGAATCGCGTGTACACAGCACTTATCACTCGTCGAGAATCTTACATAACTGTCTCGCGTCGATATGCGCGACACTTATATTGGCAATAAAACGCTTTAACTAGATTCAGTTCTAACTGAAAGGATGAGAATTAATCTTAACGAAGCCCAACTGTACGACCATCAAGAATTTCTGTCGACGCGTGCCTTGACGTCGATTAGACAAGACAGACAGGCTAGATGAATAGTCGTTATTGATGGCCGAGTTGCCTCGAACAATTACGAAACTTGCAAACGACGCTTTTTAATCTCGATACTCGTTCCAAGACGGTTGTACGCGATCGATAGGCAGACACGTGATTATTTTAAAGATCGTTCGATATATCGTTTTGCAGAGCCCAGTTCACGGGACCCAATGGTAGAATCGACGACCAGCGGAAGCAGCAGCGACACGAATGGGCCTGTTTGTGCGCAGCTGTTGACACAATTAAACACAGCATATCAACACCTTGCACCTGATGCTCAAGCACTGGTAAGCATTTTCACGTGAAATTAGCAACATTGACGATATGGTGTTGGGGGACAATGCACTGTGAAATGGACCTAAAACGGTGTGACAAATATAACGAATTTCGTGGAAGAATTAAAAAGTGAAATATGAATGAAGATATTATTCAAATTTATATATATGTGGTTTCCTTTTGTTAAAAATGTACAACGTTGTTTTGGTTTTTTTCTGAAAATAAATTTAGCTTAGAAAACTTGCAAGAAACTATAAATCTAAGATGAGAATGTAGGTTTTCTGTGATACACTTCGTTATATTTGTTTCACTAACTATAGGTACAACAAATAGCACTTGAAAGTAACCATGTACGAAGTTGTTCTCCTTTATTTTCTGTGGTTCGATGGATATTTGTTTTGTATTGAAAAAATTCAGTTTAATTTATTAAGAAGTATCTTACAACGATCGTATACACGTCAGATTTGTACGTTATCAAATTCTTCGGTTGCGTAGAAGAAACTATTGAGGAGTTTTGCGTGGCGCTCGATACATACATATGTATAACGAAATATAAATGTGGTGAAATACGACATCGAGCCAGCAGAGGGTTAATTATATTACCACGATATACCTTGCGACCAGCTATATACTATTACGCTTTTTGCATATTTATGGATGGCACACTGTGATAAAACACAACATTCTTTAAATCCCCTCTATGAATAGCCCGGATAACGTACACGTGTTTTCTAATAAAAGACTTAATGAAATTGTATATGTTTGCTAGTTTACTCTCGTTTTTTTAATCGTACAAGTATGTAATGTCCTTAATAACAGAGTTACTACGTGCATACACGTTGTTTACCTTTTTGGTTAACTTCTAACGTGTGCCGCTTTACACTTATGTATGTATATCTATTGTTCCTTAATGCACGCTTTGGTTTGGCCACGGACGATCACCTGTTCTACCTACGTTCTAATTGTGTCAAGTTTAATCACATTTGCGTCTCGTGCACTTTTATTTTTGATACATACTATTGTGCGCACATACGTTTGCATCAGATCGTTATCAGATCACTTTCGTGTTAGTCGTGTACAGTTGACAGTCCCGTATTGATCAATAGAGTGTTAATAATTTTCAAATCGATTTGTAATATAACAGATTTTTGGATATTTACTTTCTTCAATGTAAGTAATTCTATTCTATCCTAGCTACAAATGAAAAATTAATTTATACAGTTCTACAGGTGTGAGATTTTCAAATGCAACAGGATGTATATGTACACATGAAATTCATTTACTAACAAATTAAAGGTGTAGATAATGTTTGAGTGTGATTTCAAAATATTGCACAATATCTTGCTTATTTCTTCTTTACACGATTTTCTTGTATACACATCATAAATTAACTTTTTTCAGCTGCACACTTTAAGATGATGTTATTATGCAACTCTCAGGGTATGTGTATATATATGTATGTTTCTCTATAAGTAACTAGACATTCTTACTGTCTAGTAAAATATATTACTACCATAGAAATCATGTAAAAATTGCAGACAATTTTAATTACTCTATCATATATTGATGAATAAAAACTTAATATGTATATCTTACATTACAATTAAGGAAAATCAGCAGAATACTGACAAGTAAAAAAGTTACCAAGAAAAATACAAAAGACTAAAAGTACAGGAGGAAAGAAATGAGCAATGGGAGATCATGTTGCACCTAAAGTGTAAATCTCAAACCATAAAGTGACCATAAGTGGTTCAAATCTTTGGCTTCTGCTACAGGATTACATACACCATAGACTAGGGAACACTCTGATTGGTGAAACTGATACTGTGAACCCTTGACTACATATTGAAGTGATGTGAAAGTTGACACCCCTCTTTACTGAATACAACAGTCGATATTGGGTGACATATAAAAAAGGAGGGAAAGTCACCCTTTTTCAATTTTTTTTCATTCTAGTTCACCTTTTTACCTAGCTACCCTCTTTTCACATCTCATTTACTTTGTCACTTCAACATTATTCTTTTATTGGCTGCACACTTGTTAAATTATACATCAAACTTTTTCACCTGTTTCTATGCAAGCAGAATATATAATAATGAGGAAGCTGAAAATGATGTATCTACATCTATATATATATATATACATGCAGATTACATAATTTCTCAGAAAATATTATATTTAAGCACTAATGATTGCAAAAATATGCAAAATCAATATCAAGGATATTCAGAATATTGGCATGCATATTAAGTGCAAGAAGAAATACTGTACATTGCCATAATCTTGCAAGCTGAATGAACTTATTTCTAGACTGTATCTTAGTTTATTACGATGTTCTGCAATTAATTTTATATTTTCACTTGAAAAGCCTGGTATCCAACTGCTGTACTTAACATGTTTTGGTCAGTTTGGCACAAACAGGGAATACTCTGCCAAACGTTGCAAGCAATTCTTGCAATAGAGACACGTTTGTCACGGTATTTCTATTTCCTATCGATAAATCGCTATCCAATTTGGTGCAATAATTCATTCCGTTGATGATAATATATTTAACGATACTCTCTGATAAATAACGATTCAACCTCAAATTTCTCAGCAAGATTAAAATTACCATTTTTTTTCTTTTATTTCGGACGCGAAATTCCTCTTCGTACTTTTCAACTGTCTCATTTCTGACAATGAAATTATTTATTCCCAGTTGCATAGTTTTGGCATTTGTAACGTAGTCAGTATTTTAACATTCACGAATATTAAGCACTTTGAAAGTCATTCAAATTACTTTCAGAATTGTTCGATATTTAGAATTCACGTGACTTTCGTCTACGGTGTTAGGTAATTTTGGCCAGCACAATGTTTTCATAAACTTTGTATCACGAACACGAGATTTATCCGAGAAAACTTTGTCTATATTACCACAATCCGGATGAAAATTGTATCGCGAAACATTAAGAACAATTTGCCCAACAGATCGTAATTCACTTTTGATAATATCATCGGTACAGTTTCAGCTGTAAAACCGAATTCTATTAATAAAACAGCTTGATCAAGGTGTTTTGCGTATCTAAAAATTCAAACTGGGCACCGTCTATGTGTATATCTTCTATTTTCACACCGACGCGTTCATCGATACTTATTGTTTCCGTTTCTTCCCCTGAAGAAGCTGAGACAGTCTGAAACAAAAGGATCGTTGATTGCGAAACATGCATAACATCGGGAAACCATTTGAACGACCTAGATTTTGTATCCTGTGCCCAGCACGGTAGTTGCAATTTTTATAGTAACATCGAGGCAAAAAATCGTTGCTGTTGGCCAACCAAATACAGGACTGGTGTATCTCGCTTGGTCGGTCAGTTTGATCATGTTGGAGTGTGAACTGTGCCGACCATATATATGTTATCCCATGTAACTAATCGCTTGCTGCTTCCTAACATTGTTATGAACATCCACTGTAACTGTTTAGTTTTACAATCAGGAGAACGGCGGGAAGCCACCTTTGGTCGGGATACAATTGATGGTGCCGAAACCGTCGAAGGATTATCGTTTCATGAAATGGAACTGGCCGCTGATACGGAAGACGTGCTTTTGGTCTTTGATGTCGGTGCTTGCTGGATGTACGGCTCTGGTCATCGGTGTAATCGCCACGATGCCAAGAAAGTACGTGGTGCAATGGTTGTTGGAAACAATGACGGTATTATTTCTATCGAGGAGGGTAAAGTTTGTGAGAGTAAATTTAATTTTAAAAATTTTGGCTAGAGAGAAAAATTGAAATAAAACTTTCTATAGAATAGAAATTTTAATGGTTGGTTTCATAAATTGAAGAAAAAAAAAAGAAAAAGTCAGGTCCAAGATAATGTGAAGTAATTCATTTTTACAGGTGCGACCCGCCGGTACAGTGGTGGCAAGGAAGCGTTTTCTACGAGATATTCCCAGCATCTTTCCAAGACTCTTCAAAAGCCGGTGATGGTATCGGCGATCTTCGAGGGATAACGATGCGTTTGGACTATTTGAAGAAATTAGGCGTACGTGGGATACGTCTGAATTCAATTTTTCCGGCGGCACACTATCCTGAATATTACTCGAACATCGATAATCTGACAGACCTTAACAAAGAATTAGGAACTTTGGATGATTTCGCTACGCTCGTGCGTGAAATTCACCGACGAAACATGAGCTTGCTCCTCGATCTGCCTTTGTATCCGTTTATAAAGACTTTGTACAATGAGAGTACATCATCTGAAAAGCCTAACAAAACAGACAAAGCTGTGCGCGAGAGAAGAGACGTTACCGATGATAGTGTCCTAGAGGAGGTCGTACTGACGACACCTTCCACGTCGCTGCAAGCGATTCGAGAAGCATTGTCCTCGATACCACCTCCTTTGGACGAACCAGAGCAACAATTACTCATTTCCAATCACGTTAATGCCGTGTCGGATAACCTTGTCACGACGGCCATTAAAATTTGGCTAGAAAGGGGGGTTGATGGATTCTATTTAAAAGGACTGGAACATTATGTCGAGGAGGAATTGTTTGTGAGCAGCCTGAAACACTGGAAGTACATTCTAGGGTCTGAAAGAATACTTATTTGTCACATGGATGCTTTGAATGCTGCCAAGTCGATCGCGGCGAGAAATTCCATTCTAATGAGGATGGATCTCGTGGATGTTACGTTGCGCGTTGCTAATGGCACGATGGAAATCAAGAGGCAAGTTGAGGAGGTCACGAAAGGCCTATTATTCGAGAAACCAGGTTATCCTTGGATACATTGGTCCATAGGCGGTGTGGATTCTAAAAGAATAGCCTCTACCATTAACGTGAAGAACGCAACCATGGCCGCTACTTTGTTAGGGATGATGCTCCCAGGAACACCGAGTATATTCTACGGAGACGAGGTATAATTTGGAATATAACATGAGTCTACCTACTACTACTGTAGTATGTAAAGTGTTGTAAAATGGAGTCCAGGACTTTAGGGAGATGTATAGTACTATGTATATGTATAGTACTAATATTAGCTATGATATTGTTAATAACTTATATTTAATTGTATTCGAAAGATCTGTATATTACACTTTATGTAATAACTTGTAAAAGTTTCATTCACTTTTAGATAGGTATCATGGACTGCGAATGCGAGGATCATAAGGATCTTCCTCACGTGCACAATTTGCCTCCTATGTATTGGGAGAAGATTGATGGTTCTGATGTTAAATTTGCGTCCATCGGCGTTACGGCTTGGCTTCCGGAAGCAACGAAACCGTTAGAGACAAGTTTGTACGGGACCATCACTGAGATGGCTAAACTGAGATCAGAGACAACTCCGATTTACGTTAAAGCGGTGCTAAAAGAGAATCAGGTGCTGGCAAACTGTGATATTAGGTAAATTTAAGATTTATATTGTATCACATTCATTGTGGAAAACGAATTCTCCAAATGTTACACTTTTCCCGTAGGTATGCTGATGATGAAATGATTGTAATAGAACGATGGTATCCACGACGGAACTCTTACGTCTTTCTAGCCAATTTAGGCAATAGTACGCAAACGAAGGATTTATCTTTCCTTTATTATGGTGGTCAGGTTGTAGTTGGTCCGTCATACAGATTGAACAAAGATGTATACTTCAAGCAACTAATTATACCTCCAGGAGAGGCTATTGTCATAAAGCTCGATAAATGAAGGTCCATTAGAAGATTAAAGATCTGTATCACATTCATTTTCTATGTACGGTCGAGATTTTCGCGTCTTTGATTAACATTACAAGCGTGAATATGTGATATTTTATTTGAAGTATATCGTTGACGTTGCGAACGTTGTACAACGAATGTTTAGATAGAAAAAGTTCCTACTAAGAGTAAAAATCCCTTAGGAACCGTAATGTCTAACAAAAGAGGAATGACTTGACGAGAAAAAGTGATCATATATGCGTTATAAAAAGAAACAAAGAAGGAAAAAGTTTGTGCTCTCTCAACGACTTTACGTACACGGGTAAAATGTGTTTGAACACAAAATAAATCAAAAGCTCATACGAATTACAAAAAAAAATCAAATATTACATTTTTAACTTTAGTCTGAATAATAATAATGAAGAAGCACAACGAATGATCACGCATTTCACATTCCAAAAGAAGACAGATCATTTCACGTTTGCCTGTGTTCATTTTAAATGGTCAAAGTCTAGGATGAGGGACTGCTTCACTATTTTGTATATCTTCTAATCATTTTGATAATAAAACCATTGTTTTGTTAGCCTTAATCATGATTACGAATTCAACGTGAAATTCGAAATATTTTATATTATACGGAATACAAGGAAATTTATTCATGTCATTGAGTACAATTTTAAATCTCAGATTGATCTAAAATATACTAAGTATTTTTGTAATGAATTTTATCGCATATGATAAGAACTATTCGCAACGTGTAATTTTCACTTTTTTTATAATCATTTTGGTACTAATCGAGTGATATTTTACCGATGCGTGAATTAAATGGTGCTTAAGTAAAAAACAATCTTTTTTGTATTTTTATTCAACACGATACGTCGTGTGTTCTCTTGACACGAATTTTGTATGTTACGCGTAACTGATTTAAATGTACGTTCGTTTGAACTCGAAATATTCCGGTACAAACTTCGTAATAGTATTAAAAGAGAAATGTAATATTTATTATCTACAATGTATCCAATGTATTAAAATTTTTACCTTAACAAAGTTCGATTTTGATGTGAATATTAATATTTGAGAATAAAAAACAAAATGTTATCTCATAATTTTTTAATTCTTATACGTTCTCTTATTTATTTATCTTATAGTTATTATTGTATAAAATATATATGCGTAGAATTCCGCACACATTTTATTCCTTTATAATTTTATTATAATTTGTTGTTTCTATTATGAAATGCAGGATTAATAAAAACCAAAATGAATAAAGGAAAAATGTATAAAATGTTTATTGTTGAGCATCACTGTTGTCTTTCTCGCAAGTACTCATGCAGCATAGTGGGTAAAATATAAGGGGGCTCTATAAATGCTACCTTTAAGAAGTTCCCTCGTTCAACACCGCGGAGCCACATTCGGAGTCCTCAGTGACTCTCATGCTCTGAGGAAAGTCCCTGGACCCGTGGCAGCAAGTGTCGTAGCGTTATCGCTGCCAGCCTTCCGCCGTCTTCTCGACTAGGAAAGGAAGCTTTCGGGCTGATCTTCGAGTAAGGGTGGCAGTGTATTGGTCAAAGAAAAGAAATGTGTTTGAGGCGGGAAGTTCCATCGATTCTCTTCTCCTCGGAGAAGAAATTGAAGAACTTGTCCAACTGAACAGGGCTTATTACGAGGAAACTTCTTCTTTTGCTTTTTAAATTATATTAAAATAATTTTTTGTTAATCGATATCGATAATAATACAGAATTAAATAAAATTGTATCTACATTTTGTAACTCAATTGTAACTTATTATTATAATAAAGAAAAAGATGAAATACATATAATGTACTTTGTTGTAGAAGTTTATTGAAATTACATTTTCATTGCAAGAGATCGTTACTATTCTTAATTGTAATAGACTAACAATTAGTAATACATTTGTAAGCACCATACTTTCAAAACTTGTATCGTTTGTGAAGGCACGTAGTATATTTAGCAGTTATTAATTTAGTTCGAAACAGTGAAATACAAATTGGACGTATAAAAAAAACTGCTTAAATATTATATACCTTGAATGTTGCTAAAGTTGGGCCATCATCAAGATGACGCTTCGTTGTTCTTGTAAAAACACTAAAAAATTCATACGTATTTTACTTGATTTTCTGTTATTTCATTGTATTAAACAATCTTCCTTTTTTTGAATATTTTACTTACGTTCTTTGCCACTTCTGACAAAGTGTTCGCCATTGCAGTACCTGTTTGTTGTAACATATTGTAAAAATATCCCTTCTTTTGCAATAAAACGTACGGATGATCGAATTCCTAAAAAGTTAATATTAAGAAATGCGTCTGAAGCATACATATATACCACTTGTAAATTTTGTTACGAATTCGTTACACGCAATTAGCTATAAAAAATGAACATTATTTAAAAATAATCCAATGTATCGTTACTTACTACTAGGTAACCCTCGTCCATCACAAGTATCTTATCACTATCCATTATGGTATTTAATCTATGCGCTACAGTAAAGACAGTACAATCCACAAACTTCTTTCTGACAGTCTCTTGGATTAGGGCATCAGTTTGTGGATCTACATTGGCAGTGGCTTCATCAAGAATCATGATTTTATTACTTCTAACTAGTGCTCGAGTAAGGCATAATAATTGACGTTGACCAACGCTAAAGTTCGATCCCTCTTCGGCTACTTTACTATTCAAACCCGCTGCCATTTCTGAGATGGTCCCTTTTAACTCAACTTGTTCCAAAGCTTCCCATAAAGTACTATCGGAATATTCATCGAAAGGATCCAAGTTTCGTCGCAGACTACCACCGAATAAAACTGGTTCCTGTGGTATAATACTGATTTTTGAACGGAAGTCATGTAATGCAATTGTATCCGTTGGTATATTATCTATAATAATTTCTCCTTCTATGTATGCTAGTCGGAAGAGAGCGCTAATTAAAGATGATTTTCCAGCACCGGTTCTTCCAACAACACCAACTTTTTCCTTGGGCTGGATCACAAAATTGATGCCTTTCAAAACATAGGTACTTTTAGGTCCATATTTTAGCCTGACGTTTTTGAATTCCACCAGACCCTTAGCGGGCCATTCCTCTGGCGGCTTTTTTTCTGGTATACTGTCCAAAAATGGCTCTTCCTCTAAATTACTATATTCTAAGACTCTTTCGATGGAGGTAATTTGATTCTCCAGTTCAGCGGTTTGCCTCATACCCCACTGTAAAATTCCAGTGACTCCGCTAAGTTGCGTTATCACCAGACCAATGTTACCAGCCACGGCGAGATCATCGAATACCAAGAACGTAATCATAATCAATCCGACGTAAATCAGACACACCGATTCCACGTAGAGACCGAAAGCCCGCGAAATGGAGATAAATATATACCACGTGGAAGTGTGAAGATCTTGATGATTGTCAAAGTCTGTGGTTACTATTTTCTCAGCTTTGAACGCTCTGATTGTCGTTAAACCTTGTAAAGTTGCCCCTACATGATCGAACACTGGCGATCGGGCTAAAAGACATTGTTATTTGTTGTTTCAAATATTAATTTTCAGTAATAACGACGAAAGAAAAACATTTATACGAAATTCATGAAATGAATTACACTTATAGAAGTGTGACTACTTACTTATACCCTCCATACGTTTAATAGCACGACTAGTTGAAATGTATATAACTCGCATATAGTAGAAAAGAAGCATAATGACAAATGTTGGTACTAACAGCCACACGGTCACTGTAGCAACGACAACTATGGTTCCCACGAAGGTTAAGGTCATTATGGTAACGTCCAACATGGTGAAAGGTAGTTTTTTATCAATAATACCGATATCTTTGGAAAACCTTGGTAAGATAATTATTAATATTAATATGTTGCGAACAAAATATAACTGGTTATTAACGTGTAAATTGAATACCTATTCAATATTCGTCCAGCGGGATTCGTGTTGTAAAAATACATCACAGCACGTACTATACTACGGAACATCTGCGCGTGCAAATTTTTCGAGGCCCGCATGCAAACACCATAATACGTGAACGTTTGGATCAAATAGATGACGACGACCCCCATGGTCAGACCACTATAAAGATAAATAATTCCATCACGAGACAGCGGGCCAAACCATTGAAAATCCATCGTACCATTTTCGCTGGTAACCCACGATGCCACCTCTGTGTTCACCCAAAACGCGAGTAAGTAATCGCTACTGCTTGCCATCGTTTGATACGTTAAAAACAGGATCACCATCAGAAAAACCAGGCATGTGTTTTTGCTTGCTTTCAAGTAGGCAAAGAAGATCGCACTGGAGATTTTCCCGACTGTCCTTGTTTCTGCCACCTCGACTGGCTCCTGTGCCGCTTCTGCTTCCTCCTCTTTCTTCGTTTCTTCTATCATTGGCTTCTTTTCGCCCTTGGTTTCAGCTTTGGTCGAATCTTTCTTCCCCTCTACTTCTTGGAAGATCTTCATGAAGTCGAGTTTCATGCTTTGAAGCTCCTCGAAGTTGCCCTTCGCCACAACACTGCCATTGTTCATCACGATTATTTGATCGGCTCCTTTTAAGTACTGTATCTGGTGAGTGACTAGGATTCGAGTTTTGCCTTTAAGGAAACCACATATACATTCCTCCACAATGCGACTACCGACATGCGAGTCCACTGCGGACAGAGGATCGTCCAGAAGGTAAATATCAGCCTGAGCATATATTGCTCGAGCCAGATTAATTCTAGCTCGTTGACCACCACTCAAATTGATTCCTCTTTCACCGACCATGGTTCTGTCGTTATGCGTAAACAGATCTATATCATGTGTCAACTGACAGACACGAATGACTTCGTTGTAACGGGACTTGCTCATCGACTCGCCGAAAAGGATGTTTTGTCTGACGGAGGAAGCGAAGATCCATGGCCGTTGATCGGCGAAGCTTATCTTTCCGCTGGTTTCTAAAGTTCCTTCTTGCAGTGGTAACTCGTGTAACATCGCTTGTAATAAACTACTCTTTCCTGAGCCTATTTGACCAATGATTGCTATGAAACTACCAGCTTGTACAGTTAGATCGATGTTTTGTAAGGTATAATCTCTAGACTCGTCCCATCTGGCAGTGACGTTTTTCAGATGAATGGGCACAGATTCTGTGGCTACTTGGTTCTGAAGATTTTGCGATACGGAGACTTCGGTGTGCTTCATGAATTTCTCGAGACGCTTAATAGACACCGCTGCTTCTGCTAGTTGATGAACACCTACGCATGCGATTTTTTTTTTTGGTGTAAATTTTTAGAAAATTTTCAGGTATATTTACAATGTACAATCGGTTAATTGGTAGCGAGTTAAAATAAAATTATTCCCAAGTGAGAATGACTTACTTAAAGCAAAGCCAATAGTCATAGAGCCTCGTAAGATATTGTAAAATGCAGCAATCATAAAGACTTTTTCAGCATCGATATTATTTCCAGTGAAAACGTACGTCAATATGGTAATGAATAAACTGACTCGAGGAATGTAAATGTCGAACGTTAAACCGATCTGTTCGACGATCGAAAACTTCTTTATCACGTTTACCTCTTTCCTAAAGAGAACTTCATTGTTTATTCTATCTCATAAAATGTAACAAGGGTATGATAACCGTTGTTCTTACCGTCTAGCTTTCTCAACAAGAAGCGAATATGGTATCTCCCAAACGTACATCTTAATTACCTCCACTCCAGCAATAATTTGATTCATCAAGCTTAGTCTATCGTCAGTTTTTTGAGCTGACACTAGAGTTAAACACGACACCTTTCGTCCAAGATATACTAAAGAATGAAACGTAAAAATAAGTGTAATAAAATGTAAAAATCATTGCTTCGCGGTATATACAGGGTGCTTCGTCAAAAATACGTCAACACTTATACGGAAGTAACTTTTTTTTTAAACAAACAAAACTGATAGCAGTATGTATCATTATTAACAAATGTATTTTATCTTCAGAGTCTCCACTTGTTCACTATCATTGTCAACACATTCTTAGAATCTTAAAAAGAAAACATGTACAAATTCTCTGTATAAATTTTTACACTCACACTGTAATGGTATGCATAGTAAAAATGTGGTCATCCCTGTGATAGCACCTACTCCAATCTCACGGTATATAAGATAGGCTATTAGAAAGACCTGAAGAGGACCGATCCATAAATAATGAATACCAAAAACGAAGTAATCAAGCCTGTTGACATCGTTGCTCAAGAAATTGACCATCTGAACGAATAAATAAAAATGAATTCGTGTACACTTCAAACGAAGCGGTATTCCTTCTCAATTCATGTTCATTCTGTACCTGTCCAGCAGACGTCTCATTTTCAAGAACCGAATTGGACAGTCGAAGTATCTTTCTGTAAATTAAAGTACAACAAGCCACTCTGACTTTCATTCCCACGTGCATTAATTTTTGTAAACTCCAATGTAAGATCACAGCGTCGATTAGAGGCAGAAGGAAGAACGCAGCAGCGTAATAGTTTATGTCGTTGTTCCAGTCATTTCTGTTCCCAGAGAAGTAACGTAGTAATCTGGCGAGGAGGAACGGCTGTACGATTCTAAAATAAAATAACGGTTTCAGCGTTAGCTTCTCTTTATCGAAATTTCTTATTTTCTTATTAGTAAAACATTTAGTTATCGTCTCGCTCTATCCTCGATTAAGCAACTTTGTGCGAGTTTTACATTGCCCAAAATAATTAGGAAATCGTGTTTCACAGTGATGTTCAAATGGAAAATAGAACACGAACGTGGAAATTCCCTCTAACAGAGACCAACTCTGTAAAATACTCAGAATTATGAAATAAATTGTACTTCCTTTAAATTAACAATAACATTACACCACACTTATGATGTAAGCGAAGCAATTTAACGAAGTAAGAAATTCACATTTCACACGACTGAACTTAACAGAGAATTGAAGAAAGATTAAATCCCAAGCGTTTCGGTATATCAAAGGAAGATTCCCTAATCAGTTTAGACATTGCATCGAGCTGCCATTAAATTGTTGTTTGCATGTATTTATTACTGTACCGTATGCCGAATTCTAGAACAAATAGCGCTATTCCAGTGTTCATGACTGTTTTACCGAAGCATTTGTAGAGTACCCTAAATAAGCTTGGCTTCGAGCTGTCCTTTTTCTTCTCGCATCGTTTCACCTCGTTCTCCCAATTCTTCACAATTCGTTGTCCCAAATTGCTGCTCTTGTCTTCGCGCAGCGGGGAATACAGATCACTCTCTTCTAATTCCCTTTTGTATCCAGTAATTAACAACTTGAAGATCCACCTGTTTATCAAATAACATCGATTACGAACTATTGGATTAACGGGTTAAATAAATGGTGTTCACTGCGAATTCTCTTAAACGTATTTTATTATCTTCGACCCGGAAGGACGTCGTAGCGCTTTGAAAATCGCAGTCGAAGTGGAAGTGAAAAACTCGTAAGGGCACGACAGAAAGTCTGTTGTCCATTTAAGGGGGGTCTTCTAGTGTGACCGTTTCAAAAAATCGATTTTTATTTTTTTGCATATATCGAAAGTACAACTCTTCAAGAGTGTACTCCGGAAGTTTTATAGTTGTATTGAATTAAATAACGAAGTTATAGCTCGTTTAGTGTGACACATCAAGGGAGAATCTAAATTGCACTGAAAACTTTAAACGCGATTTTCTCGGAACCGTGTTTTCTGAAATGGTTGCCACGATCTGGCAAAAACTACTGAACCAATCGAACTCAAATTTTGCACATGTCTTCAGAACATGTGTGGCTATGGTCGGTAGTAGAATTATGCCAAAATATACATTTTTCTTTTTAGAGCCTCTGAAAGACGAAAAAAAGTCGAAAAAATCGATACTTCGTATTCAAAGTGCCGCCATTTTTTAAATTTTCAATATTTTTCTTTTATTCTACTACCGACCATAGCGACATGCATACTAAATAAGAATCAATTGGACTTTTTTATTTCTGATAAGCAGGACAGCTCAAATCGTGGCAACCATGGACCTACTTTTTTTTTTCATGCTCCTGTTTGACGTGTTCCACAGCAGCCATATTTAATTATTTTTCAACAAAAAAAATTTCTAACGATTCTTCAAGGACAAGTAAATACATAGGAGTAAAGCTCATGTTAACAACTGTTACCGTACTTCTGTAATAAATTAGCAAAAAAGGCGTAAAAAAACGGCCGTCAAACTAGAAGACCCCCTTAAGAAAATGAGACCAGAATTGCATCGGCCTATTACCCAGGCGTTTAGGTATAAACAGTTACAGGCCTATGGTTCCGATGACATCTTGTCTATTATATTATTTTGACTAGCAGTGTTTCTCATACGTAACACAATTCATTTCTGCTTACTAGCTGACGCATTATTATTAGCAACAATCCAACACGAACAATTACAATTTCAACTGTGTGCGTGTGTGTTTTGGTACAAATTTAACGATAAAAAATTGTAAAATTCATTTACCAAAAGGTGAGAATCGACAATGGATTGGCATTCTGACATGGATTCTTCACTTCTTTCCTCTGACTTTTGTCCATTTTCGTTGTTGCAACCGTTCTTGGTCATCTCAGGGCATTTAGGAAATTATGTTTACCGTATCTATCTCATTTTCCTGAAATCGACAAAAACAAATAATCGAATAATTCTACGAATTATACGACGAAAGAATTCATTTCTACACCTGATATATATTTCACTTGTTCTTGTAATTGTTGGATAACCAACCGCCTATTGACATTGAGTCACCAAGTCACTCTTAAGATTAACCCCGTAACGCCGAAAAACAAGTTACTCATCGATCGTTGACTGTCCCTTCAAAGTCCTGTCCAGCAATTCGTCACCAGAACCAAGTTCACCTTCTCCCTTAAATCCCTTCCTTATAAGTACAGTAAATTCTCCACAAGTGTCAGTCCGCAAGGAATCTAAACCGGACACTTGTAGAGTCAGGGACTACGTTTTGGAGCCTCGCGCCTGCCTTTGTAGTTTGCCGAACGTAGACAAGAACAGCGAATAAAAGATAAGGATGAAACGTGAGTCGAGGCAACCAAGCGATTTAAATACCAACTTTTTTAATTTTACGTTTTTTTATCCCGAAATTTTTCTTAACATATTGACGAGATTTTTCTGATGAAAATGACATCAAACACGACATAATTTGAACAACATTTACTTATTAACACGTTCACTGTCACGTCAGACCTAGGCGTAGGACCATCTATACTGACACTTGTAGAATCCAAACTGACTGACACTTGTAGAGAATTTACTGTATACCCGAAAAAATCATTATAGGAACCAAGCGAGTATAGTTAAGAGCTGTCGATCTAGTACACGGCAGAAAACCACAACGTCACTTCCCTTCGTGAAGTTCGCGTCTTGTAAATTCGGAGTCCGCGAGTATAAGTGTCATCGTTAAAATATAATCGATATCTACTTTCCTCCCCGGATTCCAACATAATATACAACTGTTCTCTACGAAAAGATCGATAAATTCGATATTTTTGAAATTTCTCACTTGCACCAGCTCGTATGCTTTTAACTCAACCTTGAGCTTTCAGTCAAGCAGTTGACTAATGCTTAGGATCTTAGGGAAGACTATTCAGGATCGACGACTATAAAAGAACCGTTGAAATTAATCAAGGTAAACACTTCGTGTTGGTCTCTTCTTCCAAACATCTCTTATCGTGTTCAGAATAAGCAAGTAACTATGTCGGTAACGTGAGTCGGCACCATTATGCAAATTTGGAAAAAATGTCAACTCGTGTAAGAGTAAATAATTACAAGGGGCTTAAAACGACAGATATTAAAATGACGTTGGTTCGCTCGTCGATGGTTAGGTACGATAATGTGTGGGCGGCTGCCCTTTTTCCCGTTTTTATACGCTTCTTCGGCCGTTAGGGCCCTGCAAGCCGTGGGGTGGGGGTGCAGCCTGCGCTGCTCCTTGTCTAGGGCCCCCTGCGGCTCGGGTCCCGCGGTCGCTGTCTAGGCGCGTCGCACGGCGCCTTACACTCGATATTCCAAAAATCACTTCTGTCAATAATTACAATTGTCTACATTGTCGTCCAATTTTAGTCGTTTTCTAATAAGAAAAAATTCGAAACGCAAGAGAATGTGTAAAAAGTTCTAAACTTGTCGTAGAACTTTTTTTTACGGTCAAAATAGTCTATTTTATACTTCGGATCGGGAGACTCGACTCGTTCGGAACGCAGGAAAATATGAAAATCGTTGATTTCTCGTAACGGGACTTATAGGTAATTTCTCTTTTTTTTAACATTCGATTCGTCGTCGAAAATATAGAAAACAACAGAAACACGCATTGAGATGATATCTTTAATTCTGTTTATTTATGATAATTGTAAGAACAGTTGTTGCTTTTGTTACAGCAGAGTTGCTATACGTTACACTTCACGCGAAAAGGAGAATGATTCACATTTTTAACGCGTGAAGTGCTATCTCGTCTAGATTTGCTAAACATTTGTGGCGACCGCCACGGGGGGCCTACGTACTTAGGCCTGGCGACTCTTGGCCCTCGAGGAGAAGAGTTAAGAGACGTTTTCCAAACATCTCCGAGTCTCTTCGTCGAAGAGTATTGCCTCGGAAATGTAGGTCCGCGTCTCCACTTCCTGGGACTTTCCCAGGGAGAAAGGGGCTACTTAAGGGAGGCCTTTTGTCGTAAACTTCCTTTCTACGCGCATCGTATCGCCTTACATCTAAAATTAGTTTAAGCATTACCGTTTAAATAAATATATTTTTGTTAAACAACTTCGCGAGTAATCATTTACACCACGTCACTTCCAAACATTGGACTGTCAGAAAGTACTCTGACTCGGAGTAGGGTGGACGTGAAATGAATTAAACGTGTCTACGTTCTTACAATAGTATATGTTATTCAAAGTCTATATTCGCGTTATCTGAGCGTCGTTCGCAAAAGTACGCTTCGAGGGTCTCGCGAAGAGTCCTGCCGATCCCTGTCCACCCCTACGCGAACAGGCCCAGGGAGAGACCCAAAGGGGCGGAGTCACCCCCACCGAGCGGTCACCCTCGCTTCACCGTCTTCGGGACGGATTTTCTCGCAGGACAATGTTTATTCTTCGGTGACTTCGAGATATAGTAAAAGTGTCTTCATATTAACGCGTGTTAGGCAAGATTTAATTATGCGTGTAATTGTCGTTGAATATCTTCTGAAAAAAAAAAAAAAAGAATAGAAAGAAATTCGATAACGCACGTGTGCGAGTGTGTGTTTCTATTTATATAAGAATTGATGAGTTAAGATTTATCATTCGACACTTGTATTCTACATTTCAATCTTCGTTCTACTTACCAAGAAGATTACGCATCGATCGAAATGAAACAAGTGTGAACAATCAATTCGAACAATTGCGAATATTACCATTAAATGTGTCGTCGAAATGATTTAACAGATGGCTCGTGTTTACCGACCGAGGTGGAAAGGAAATTTGCGAAATTTACCGAGGAGAGATCTTTCGAGTTTCGTTATTGAAAATGTGTTATCTCGCGCGAAGAAGAAAGAATCACCGTCGAAGGGGGATTCTGCAGCGTGGAAATCGTGATTCACGAACGAGAATGAGAACTGAAAACTGGTTTATTTACCTTATTATCGTTTATCGCGGGAGCTCTTATCGGAGGATGATGCCAATTAACGAGAAATTGTGTAATACGTTTAAAAAAAGAGAGAGAGAAAATGACACAAGCACGATAAATCACATCTTACACTTAGGATAAATCATCCGCCTGTAATGTGAAACCTAATCTCCGTTAAAAATTGTGTAGATAAATTAAGAGACGTTGCTGATAAATTCCCATGATTTTCTTCTTCTCT